CTGTTTTAATAGGTAAGTTAATCTCTTACATTCACTGTTGTAGAAAAGGAGGTGGGTCGGGGGTAATTGCCCCTCTGCTCCCGCTATCATATCTTGGCTTGCCTGCTCCTCCTCTGCCCACACCGCCTGCTGAAGCCTCCTCCTTGCCTCTGTACCTCTAGTCCCATCCTCCTCCCTCTTCAACAGCAGGATAGTGCCCACCACAAATTGGAGATTGGAGAGGGTGGGGGAAGATGCAGTACAAGCTACCCCTTCCTCCCACGTTCAGGCTCAGCTGTGCACCAGGTTCAAAGCCCTTTCACACGGTGGCGATGCAGTACAAGCTACCCCTTCCTCCCACGTTCAGGCTCAGCTGTGCACCAGGTTCAAGGCCCTGTCACACAGTGGTGGGGGGGGATGCAAATTTTGCTTTTGCCCCAAGGTGCATAACACCCTCACTACGCCTCTGCCCCCCCGCCCCCAACCTTGCTCAGGAGCCCAGAAAATCTGTTGGTTCCCTCTGTGGGTGTGTGAATGGATGCAAAGATCTAACATCGGCAGCTCCTGGCACTGCTGACAGGAGCCAGCAAGGACATAGTTTTATATTTCAGTTCTGTCAAGGACTCTGCTTCTCACTTCAGTCATGGCACATACCTTCCAACCCCACCCACTGCTGAAAGTGGGGGAGAAGGAAGGGAGGGGAGAGTGTGAGAGAGAATTATCTGATCTAGCTGAGTTAAAAAATAAAAGTCTGTCTGCATTTGAAGTGAATAAAGTGTGTTAACAAGTAATCCTCTAGCTGAGATTTCCAGCTGTTACTCCTGAGCTGTCTGATATCAAAGCAATATGGGACTATGGTACAGCAGCTAACTTCAGTGCATGAGCAATTACAGCCTTATGTTTCTCAGGTATATTATGGTTTTATTATTATTATTTCTCCGCTCAGAGTTTCTTAAGGCCTCTTCATATCCCGAATAAAGCCCAAGGGAATCATAAAGCCACAGGCACGGCTTTAGCACAGTTGCTGCTTGCCATCTCCTGGATTGATAAGTGTTTAGTATGTTGTCTCGATCGTGGAAGCAGGGCCCTGCAATACACACCAGAGGAAGCCCTCAAGATGTCCTCTCTATATTTGGCACCCAAGAGAAGCCCTTGTCACGGTATAAATGGGACATGTTTGCCTCTGCTCTCTCTGCTTGAGGCATGCATACCCTCTTTCCCCCACCCCACCCCTTTACACACTGTAGTTGGACATAACCCAAAATTGACAAAATACAGTTATTTTTACTAAAATAAATAATCAATTAAAAAACTTCTTCAGAGCTGCCAAGTACTATCCCTGCTGTGTATTTATAGCCCTTGTTTCCTGTGCCTTCTCTCTCTGGTTTCTTACTATTATTAATGATTTGTACTGCCATAGCTCATTATACTACATATTTAGTCCCTGCCGTGAAGAACTGATAGTCAAAGAGATTTGCCCAAGGTTTTATAGCAGGCCAGTGAAATATGGGAAGTCAAACCCAGTTTGCCAGACTCCCAGTTTAGTGCTCTATTCACTAGCCAACATGCTGTTTTGTATTGATCACATCACTGCTTTATTTCAATTGGGCAGGTTCTTTTTTTTCTGTCTCTCGTGCCTGGTATATTTTTGAGTGCTGTATTATTTATTTTATTATTGACTATAATAATTGCAAATTCATAGTTTTGTCTCCCCGAAGCTGGGGAAAGAGCAAGAATTTCAACATATTTACTGTGAAAAGCTGAGTTTGCCAGAGCAGCTTTAACCCCAGGTGATATTTGCACATATTGTTATCTGCCAAACCGTAAGTGGTGCTTTTCTTATAGTCCTGACTGGCCTTGTGGGCCTGACAGACCTGGCAAAATGGTTTGCAAGGAGAAGTGCTGTAGTTTATGTGAGTAATCTCTCCTTTCTTCCATCTAGCAGGCACTCTCAGTTCAGAAATAATCACAGCTCACACTTACAGAAGGCTGCTCAGTCCCCAAGGGTCCTGAAATGCTTTACAAATCTCGCATAATCTCTACAGGGAGAAAACCCAGAACTCTGCCTCCTCTAATGGATTAATGGAACTTTTGCAGCTCTGTTACCCCTAAGACATTCAGTAATAATACGTAGTAAACATCTGAGCCCAGAAATAAAGGCCATATTGAAATGGAGCTCACACCATCCATATTGCTGTTCCCAGGAATTTAAGTGGGGGCTTTTGACCGTTACTAAGGAAACAATCTTTGGTAATGGAGTTGGGAGATCATATTAGATGGGGGTTACAGAGAGGTTTTGTGCTAAGGTAGTCCATAGGGTTGATATTGCATATGTTCAGTGATTGATTCTGCCCCCTCTGTGATGGCATTAGAGAACATTTTGGATGGTGTCAATACATTCCAAAGCTGTGGGAGAGTTTACCGATACTTTTTCACTCTTATGTATCTGGACTTGATCCTGTCCAGCCCTTACAAACCCCATTGATTTCAGTAAGAATTACATGCAGCAGAAGAATCACTTCCACCCCCCCCCCCCCCCCCCCCCCCCCCCCCCCGAATTTCTGTTATTTTACTTGTTGCACATTTTTTGAAGGGAACAAAACAAAACAAAACAGTTCAATGTTTGGTTTCTTCTGGAATCAGTGCCTAAAAGTATGCATGCTGTTTTCACCAGTACACTCCATTTAGACCCCTACATCTGCAATGTGAATGTCACTGGAGCTGGCTTTCTTTTGAGGCTTTTGGCCTTTCCTGCTTCTGGTTGGGTTGGGGAGCTCATGACAGTCTTCCTGAGAGCTATAAGCACAATGATGCTGCTTAAAATGAAAAATACAAGGCATGGGGAAGGGATGAGTCATCTTAATGGTTCATTTCAAGGTTAATATAAGTCAGTTCTAGTTCTGTCTGATCACTGGCTTTCCAAGGGGAGTAGTGGAAACAAAAAAATCTAACTTGTTTTTAGACTGAGCTTGATAAGTTTATGGAGGGATGGTATGATGAAGTTGCCGACAGTGGCATAGGGCACATCTGCAATTGATATTAGCAAATCTCTCCAATTACTGGTGATGGGACAGTAGATGGGGAGAGCTCTAAGGTCTAGACTACATCTGGAAGTATCACAGAAAAGCTCTGCCGTGTCCAAGGAACATGTCTGCTTTTCCAAAGAAAATTCAGAAAAGCAGACGTGTTTTTACAGCATCCCTCTAAGCCTTGTTTTACGAGGAAGAAAGGATATTCCAAAAGAGGCTTTTTTTTCTGCCAATTGGCCCTGTGTAGATGGGCCAATTGTTGGAAAAGCTTCTTTTGGAAGAAAAGCAGGAAAAGATACGCAAATTGCAGTTCACAATTTGCGTATCTTTTTCCGATTGATCTTTGTAGTCTTGACACAGCCTAAATTACTACAGAGAATTCTTTCCCAGCTGTCTAGCTGGCAAATCTAGCCCACATGCTTATGGTCTAACTCAGGGGTTTTCAAATGATGGGTCACTGCTTGTACGGGTAAGCTGCTTGCTGGCTTGTGATATGCTTTGTTTACCTGAGTCCCCGCAGATATGGCCATTCGTAGGTGAGCTGGGCCACCACTTCCTGAGGCTCCCATTGGCCAGGAATGGTGAACCATACCTTCTGGGAGCTGGAAGCGGCCATGCCCATGAACACTCAGGTAAACAAAGCATCCCACAACCAGCTAGTGGTTTGCCCTTACAAGCCATAACCCAGTGTTTGAAAACTACTGGTCTAACTAAACACTGTATTTGGGGTGAAGAAGGATTTTTTCTCCAGATCAGATTGTTAGAGACTCTGGGGGAGGGTTCACCTTCCTCTGAAGCATGAGTTGGCCTCTTGCTGGTTTGAACTAAAAGAAATGGTGGATTTTCTGCCATCAAGATCTGAGGACTCAGTAATTCAGTCAGAGGTTAGTGATCTATTTCAGGAGTGGGTGAGCAAGTTCTGTGGCCTGCAATTTCAGGAGGTCTAACTAGATAATGATGATGAGCCTTTCTGGCTTTTAAGTCTGTGAATCTATAAAATCCTATTTAGGCCCTGATTCAGCAAGGTACTTCAGCATGTGCCTTACCAAGCATCAGAGATGTACCTTGCGAATTGGCCTTTACATGCAGTCTTGACCAGGACTTCTTAAATACTGGACTATCAGCTAGGCTTGCCCAAGAGGAGCGGTTCTGTCTCATTCGATGTCAGGGAGACTTGACGCTGTACCAGACTAGAGATGGGTTTGACCCAAACCCTGATTTACACAGCTGATCAAATCAGATCCAGAGCTTGGAGAGGTTTGCAATCCAAACTGGGAACCACATCTCCATATTTCATAACCAGCAGGGCTCCGCTGAATTGCGACATGTTGATAATCCAGTTCCCCCTCTTGCAACAGCAGCCCTTTTCTGCCAGGGAGACACCAGCATTTAGTAAAGGGGGAAGTTTCTCTGAGGTGTTTTTTATTTTGCAATTTCCTCATTATTGATTTGTGTAAACTATTCTTAACTGGTTAAAGATCTTTTCCCACCTCTTTCCTTTTATCTCTAACACTTCTGACAGCGTACAGTGGCACAGCTCATTAGCATTCCCATGGCGCAAGGAGACAACTCTTGCCGTAACAGAGAGGAGTGTGGTCAAATGTTCTGAGTACAGGGCTGGGCGTGCAGACTGAAACTCATAGCACCTGATACTTGCCCTTACAGTCACTCGCTTTGCAGCCATCATTGAGTCATTTGAACTCTCTGCCTCAGTTTCCCCATCTGTAAAATAGAGGCCAGGGACCATTTTATATCTCTTGGCAGATGAAAAGATCTGTATAGATGTTTGTAGTCTTTGGCCAGTGGAGTGAGCATGTTGGCTAAACTTTTTGGGGTGTTGTCTGGTTTTTTTTCTCTGACCTGATTCCAGACTTTCCTACCTGGAGGAATACCCCAGAGAGCTGTAGCTTCTATTGAGTGGTACCTTTTCCTCCTTCTCTGAGCTGGCGGATTCTAGGCTTATCATTCCAGGTGTCTGTTTGTCACCTACAGGGCCTGCAGATTGGAACACAAGAGCTGGAGGAAATGGGAGCCAAATTCTGCCTGGGACTCCTCATCCTGCAGCTCAAATCATTGTCCTGCAGCAAGAAGCTGATGGCTCAGGCAGCAGCCCTGCTGGATCCAGAGGAGGAGATTGCAAACCGTTGGTCACAAAGGTCAGCCTGAGAGCACTACTCAAAGGGTCCTACACAGGAGGTGGGTTGGCCGGGAATGGTCTTGGTTCCACAGTCACAGCACCAGCCTCAGCTGGTGTCAGGGACAGGAGCACAGCGAGAAATGAGGAGGCAACTGCTTCCTAAAGAAGCCCATGATGGAGACGGCAGTTCATGTGAGTACTTGCGCTGACTTTTTACAGCTACAACTGGATAAATCAGGGAGAGAAGGAAAGGGTTCACTCAGATTTTCCACTCACTTGCCCATCTGTCCTCCTGGTTGGAATGGCATTACCCAGAAGGATTATCTGTCTGTGGTAAAGATGTTTATGCTTATCGGATAGTCAGTCGACTACTCAACTCCCTCCCTTCTTGCTGTCTCTATCAAATAGAGGCAGCAAAGGGGGGAAGAAGGGGTACTTCAAAGCAGCAGTGCTGCACAGATGAGATGGGGATCAATTGTGCGGTGCTTCCGCTTTGAAACCCCAAGGCGGCGTTTCAAAGGGACAGCTGCCACACAGCTGATTTGTGGCTCAGCTGTGCAGGGCTGCCCGTTTAAAATGCTGAAGTGCCATGGAGCCCAGGGTCAGCTGGGGACTCCCCAGCTAATCCTGGGTTCCGAGTAGCATTTCTGGGGAAGTCCTCAGCTGATCCCGGGCTCCACGGCACTGCCCTTTTGAAACGCCAAGGCAGCATTTTATAGAGGAAGTGCCGTACAGGTGAGCCAGGGATCAGTTGTGCAACGCTGCCCTTTTGAACACCACTTCAGTGCTGGGGAGTCTCCAGCTGACCTCGGGTTCTGGGAAGATGCTGCGCAGAACCCGGGGTCAGCTGGTGAATCCCCAGCTGACCCTGGACTCCACATGGCATGCAGTGCAGCATGGAACCCGGGGTCAGCGGCCGATTCTGAGTCCCCCGCTGACTTCGGGCTCTATGGCTTTGAAATGCACAAGATCCCCTGCTGGGGACTCTTGTACATTTCAAAGCAGGCACGCCCGTGTGCAGCTCTCTTGTACATTTCAAAGCAGGCATGCCCGTGTGCAGCTCCGAGTCAGCGGGACTTTCCGCTGGCCCCAGGCTGTACATGGAGTTCCGCATTCCTCCTTTGAAATGTACAAGGCCTTACTGATTATGTTGGAGAGTCTTTCTTTATAAAGTGCTAAATTTTGCTCCGAGTATCCAGGGTGCATTTCCACTGCACTCAAAGAGTTTGATGTCAGTGGGGTTACATCAGTGTGAATAAGATGAGAGTTTGGGCTGGTGGTACGTCAGGCTTATAAAGAAGATAAACTCAGGTGTCTGAGGAGATAGGGAGGTCTCTATGCAACATCACTATTCTCACTTGCCAGTGACATGTGAATGCATCAAACTCATGTTCTTCAAAAAGTAATGGGGGTAAAAAAAACATTGAACTGATATGAGTTGATGCTCCCTCTACAGGTCTTTCATCAGCAGATTCTCACTCTCACCAACAAAAAAGGCAAGTTGTGTAGCGGAAATATTCCAGTAATTTATAGTGGGTTTCCAGTCTTCCCCTTCAGGGATACTTAAGAGCCATTAGTACCACCTGTTCTCCATGCCAGAGACTGTATTTACAACCTTGTTCATCATTTTTAATGTTTATGGAGGGAGGAATGAAAAAGTCTAAAAAATAGAGATGCTCCTTTGGATTAGTCATGCTCACTTGTACATGTGAACATGAAGCAATTACTGTGTATCCCAAACACTGACTGTGCCGCAAACAGCCCTCTGACAAGCAATCAGTGTGTCATTAGAGAGAACCACTCAAGCCTGGCCAGACAGACATATTCCGGGTATAAATCAAACTCTGACTTGGGAACTGGAGCTGCATAAGCCTTTGAGTTAAAATAACTTCTCACATGGTGAGAAAAAGACATCCAAACACCTACTGAAGCTGGGCAATGAAATAAAGCCAGCAGTCAAGTAGAATTGGTCCAGCTAGAACTAATCCTGCGTTTGCCAGCTACCTAAGAGGAATCTTTTTTAGATGAAATGATTTAAAATTCTGGTATCATTTTACTTGCTTGGTTTTATTGTAATGTTCATTTACTTTAATCTTTTACAATCTTGGATGAAAATGGAACTGGGTATATGAAAATAATACCAAGAAACTCATTCATACACTGTTATTTCTTGTTTAGCGACGTGTAGGGGATCATACTCGATGATCATGATGCTCCCTTCTGGCTTTAATGTCTATGAGTCCATGAGTTGAAACTAACTTGTTCTGAAAATGTCAGCTGATCTTGCAAGATCTCCATAACACAGGAATCTAGATCCATGTGGAGTTAGGACATAAACTGGTAGGAGTTAACCCAAGTAGAACTAGTAGTTCTTGACAATTTGTCTGGCTTTAGTTAGCTTCTCACCATCATCTGCTGACACAATGTCACTGTCTGAGGGCATGTTTACACTAGGAAAATATTTCAAAATAACTAAATTCAAAATAATAACTCCCAAAGTAACAACATTGAAATAGCAAGACCACACTATGGGGAGCCTCGAAATTAGTCCAAGGCAGGCTCTGTTATTGTGGACATGCTACCTTGACTTAGATCCCCAGGAAGCACTGGGGAGTAATTACTTTGAATTATTATGGGGAGTAGTTATTTCAAAATAGCAGCAGCAGAGTGTTCACACTACCACTATTTCAAAACAACTATTTCAAAATAAGCGTTATTCCCCGAGGAAAGCAGGAGTACAGATTTCAAAATAACCAATCAGTTATTTCAAAATAACAGGCTAGGTGGTGTGGATGCTACGCTTATTATTTTGAAATAAGGGGGATTATTTCGAAATAACTCCCTACTATAGACCAGGGCTGAGCATTAGGCAGAATTACACCTGCAAGTACTCACAGGAATTATCTTTGGGTTTGGGTGGGCAGAGATACTGGCTTAGTGGATTTGTTTACTAAACATCTGTTTCCAGATCAGGTAAGTCACTGAATTTTGAATTCAATCCAGTGATATGCCCAGGGCTTGCCAAGCGGTGGTGAGCCCCGCTCGCCAGCTGTGCAGAACCACACGCTGCACATGCTCAGACTGCACTGCGCGGCCACTCTGGGCTAAAATCTACTCGCCACAGGCGAGTAGATTGCCTTAATTGTTGGGCCCTGGATATGCCATTGCAAGAGATTGATGTAGGAGTGTTGAGAAGGAATACATGAAATAGGAAGTTTAATAACACATAGCATTCTTAATGAATGAACAAATGAAGATGGCTGTGCAATGTAGTGATTTCAGTTCAGCACACCAGTACTCTACTGCAGACTTGTCTAGTTGAGTGAACTGTCTAGTGCACTCCAAAATATGAATAGGAATTTTACTAAAAGTGCTGTAATAATGCAGTGTGGATGGATTGGTCGAGAGATCACCTTGTGATGGTCACTTGATGTGCTGAAATACCACTGAGCCAACCTTCCTGCCCTCATTGGTGCTCCTCAACCCTCTGTCCTACTGAGTCAGACCCTCCAGCCTCCTCTAGCACTGGCACAGAGATGGGCACACAGGAGGACAATATAGATGGTGAAATCAACTCAGCTCTGGAAAAGCTCAAAGGGACTCACCTCAGCACCATCGTTCACACTGTAAGCAGTGTTCTTGTTCAGCCACTTGGGAGAGATTACGATGACACCCAGCTGATGAGCAGAGCTAGATTTGTGTTTCTCTTAGAGGTACACATTCCCCACGCCTTGGTGCACATAACAATATTTGTTATGTACATGGATGGAAAAAACCTGCACGCGGATGGAAAAGATTAGAGGGAATGTTTCTCGGCACCAATGACACCTGATCTCCAGACAAATCCCTCTTATTTTATATAAAGTTTTATACAGAGGAAGTTTGTGTTGTCTGCCAACTTTCTCATGTAAAGAGAGATGTATAGCTGCTTGTCATTTCTTTCCCCCTCCTCCCCCAGTAACAATTACTTACATTGGGTTTATTAATAAACTAATATGCTTTTTAAATATAAAGAGTAGAATTTAAGTGGTTGAAAGTAATAGCACACAGAACAAAGTAAGTTACTAAGTACAATAAAACAAAACATATCAACCAAGCCTAATAAACTAAGAAACTTGTTGCATGCAATACTTTACCCTTACAATGTTCCGAAGCTACTAGAAACACCAGAAACTGTAGTTTAATCAAGTCTCCAGTGTTCTTAACACGGTCATCTAACCCTGCATTGAGTAAGACTTGATTACAGGAGCAGTAAAAAAAACCAAACAAGCACTCCCCAAAAAACAAAAAATAAACAAACAAAATACCCTGCACACTAACTACGCTGCAGCTTCCTGTATTGCTGCTACTGCTGAAGTTGCTCTGGTGGGAAATCATTCCTGCAGTCTTTGCTGATGTCTATCAGGTCCAAGAAGCACTATTTTCCTGCCCCTATCCTTATGGGACTATCCATATTCTTTATGGAAATACGCTTATGAATATGCATAACTGGAAGATGCTTTATGCAAAATACTTCTTGTAAGGTATCATTTGAAAAGTTACAGTCTGCTGAATGTGTATATTCTATTTGTATCATGCCTATATTTGAAGTTAGAAGTATAAAGAGTAAACCTGTTTTATTAATATACACATACTAAGTGAGAGCCATTAAGCATATTTCAGTAACTTGATGTTTCATTGATAAGAACAATGATCTGTAAATGGGTTTATTTTTCTTATGTATCAGTCCCTAGGAGGGGCTGAGAATCCCCAGAAGAACATGAGTTTAAGACATCTGATGCTGGGACCCATCCTGGACATTGTACTTTTCCATCAAAAGTGAGAAAAAGTTTAAACTGAACACAAAGGATTCCCACCTTTGGCAAAATCTATATAAAAGTCGGGAAGCCAAACAATAGAGGCTGCTGCCAGATGCCAGAACACCCCAGTTTATCACCCAAGATGACTGCTGGAAACACGTAAAATTGAACAGGGGGAGGATCAAGCCCAGTTTTGGTGGCTTTCCAGTTTGTGAAAAAA